GCGGCATGGGGACACTGTAAATATGCGGCGAGCCGAAAATCCTCTCGAAAGTTTTGTAGCAGGGACGAGGGGTGGGAGACCCTCAGACCTGTTCCCCCAGGCTGCTCTCCATCAAAATTGGGAGCGGAAGTCGTACTGTAAACTGTATGGTGCTCAGGACTCTTGCCAATGACAGGCGCAATTTTGCACTCCTTGCCACGATGAATAATTTCGTGGGATGTTATTGTCAAACAAGTGAGATAAGTCACAACAACAGCAACAGCTTTTCCAAATGTAACTATGGGAACCGGGAGATCGCATTCAAAGTTAGATTTCTTTAATTGTCGGAAATGAATTTTCACTTTATTAAATTTGACATTGCCAAAAAATGAATATATTCGCCATCTGTAACAGTTTTTGTAATTGGAAGTATATCTTTACCAGGCTCGGTATATATGTATACCGGTATATAGGCTATATCCGGTATATATATATATATATATATACAGTGGATGGACAAAATATGGTAAACCTTGTGAAATGCATGTTTGAAAAAACAGATTGATTTTAATGAAATATGTAGGTGGCGCTGGGCGTTTTTGACTACTGACGCCACCTACAACTTCGTAAATGTGCTAACAGTTCAGTTGTTGTCGGAGTACTGTTATGTGAGGTTGTCATTACATTATGTCAGAGTTAACAGACTTCGAACGTGGGCAAATTGTTGGAACACGTATGGTAGGTGCTTCCGTAAGCAAGGTAGCCGAGGTGTTTAGTGTTTCAAGAGGTACTGTATCGAAGATTTATTCTGCATATTTGAAAAGCGGGAAAACAACATCTGCTAAATCAAAGCGCGGACGAAAGTGTGTCTTGAGTGATCGTGATAGACGATCATTAAGGGCAATTGTGACGAAAAATAAGAAGACCGCAGCTGCAAAAGTTACTGCTGAAATGAATGTTGTGTTACCGAACCCTGTGAGTACCAAAACAATTAGAAGGGAGCTTCATAACCAGGGAATTGCTGGCCGTGCTGCAATTGAGAAGCCACTCATCAGCGATGCTAATGCCCGTAACAGGAAAAGGTGGCGTTTAAGTCATAAAGCCTCGACTATAGAGCAGTGGAAGCGAGTAATAGGGTCTGACGAGTCTTCTTTCACATTGTTTCCCACTTCTGGCCGAGTTTACGTCTGGAGAACGCCATCTCAAGCCTATAATACAGACTGCTTGTTGCCAAGAGTGAAACATGGCGGGGGTTCTGTTATGGTTTGGGCAGCCATATCGTGGTTCTCTGCTAGCCCCATGATAAACTGTGTCAGGGCACATGACTGCCAAGACGTATGTGAACATTTTGGCGATCAAGTTTCTCCCATGGTACAACTTTGTTCCCCGATGTGATGGTGTCTTCCAAGACGACAAAGCCCCTGTTTCACAACAGCTCACATTGTCCAGGACTGGTTTTTGAGCATGAGGATGAGTTGTCCCATCTCCCCTGGCCACCACAGTCACCGGACCTGAATATTATCGAACCTTTGTGGTCTACATTGGAACGGAAAGTGCGTTTCGTTATCCACCTCCTCCAACATCGTTATCTGAACTTGCCACCGTTTTTGCAGGAATGGTATAATATTCCCTTGGCAAACATACAGGAACGTATTTATCCATTCCGAGAAGACTGCAAGCGTTTTGGATGCCAACGGGTTTCCTACACCCATATTAAGCAAAAGAAACATGTTTTTTTTAAAGGTGTTTCCATTTTTTTCCAACCCCTGTATGTATACGGTATATAGGCTATATCCGGTATATATATATATATATATATTAATTTATTTACTGAGTATTGATTATATTATCTCCAAATATTAATTTTAGTAGAAGTATCTAAAAAGAGTGAACCCATAGGTAGGAAGTTTAATTCCGAAAATTGTTTTAAAGTAACTTGAATGTAAATTTAAAAATGTTTTACGGGGACTTGAAGTAAATCATGAACCAACTTTCGTTGTTCCCTTAATTTCCGATCAATAGCAATAATTACTTGCTTTTAATTTAATTTCTTTTTCCAAATGAAATTTTGTTATTCATGATTTACTTCAAGTCCCCGTAAAACATTTTTAACTATTTACATTCAAGTTACTTTAAAACAATTTTTGGAATTAAACTTCCTACCTATGGGTTCACTCTTTTTAGATAATTCTACTAAAATTAATATTTGGAGATAACATAATCAATATTTCTTTAGTAAATAAATTATTATTATCTTACGTTGCAGCAATTGCGTAAGTATTAGAATAACTTGCTTTCGAACTAAGTGAATTTAAGATCATACAATTATATATATATATATATATATCCGGTATAGATGATATCGGTATATAGACTATACACGGATATACTACATATATATGTGTGTGTATGTGTGCAAAATATAAAAAATAAGATGGCTTTGCTCTGCGCGAACAGGCAACCTATATTAACTTTCCGCAATTTCGGGATCTTCCCACTGGAACAGTACTTTCGAGAACATTCTGGCATGTTATATAACCGCTAGTATAAATACGGAGTAATACTTAAAGTTAGCTACTAAATACTCTAATCCATAAAATCACCAGCCTGACCACTTTCTCGATTTTCACCTACGAAAATGTTCCATGGAATTTTAGTGCTTGACATCATGGCTGTTTCATGGAGTTTTAACGCTTGACACCATGGATGTTCCATGAAGTTTTATGCTAGAGTGTTTTGTTTTGTTATGAATTGACAGCATCCGCCATTGGGTGGCGCTTCGAGCGTCCTGTTTCTGGAGTTATTCGATTGGAAGAACAAAGGTGTTAAGCCTAATAATACCAAAAACCCGCGCATAATATTTATGGCCGTAAAGCACTGTATTACACGTAAATAAAATTTTTATGTGTATTGGTAGTAAGTGGAATGATCACTTTCCTCTGGATTTTATATTCGAACATAAATCTAACGAATATTAATGTGGGTACACTGGCTCCAAACTTCAAGACAGGTGACAGGTGACGGAGGACGGGGACGCCTGGCGTATAACATAGGTAAACAGGCATATGTCCCACGTCCTCCACTATCTCGAAGAAGCAACTCGCTGGAGCCCCGTGAGGCTGCACCGGGAGTTTACATGGCCATACAGGTGCTAGATGTCGGGTAGTTTTTACATAGGACGTTGTTAATAACACAAAGTAACTTAAAAAAGAATATAAAGGATAGCATTAAAACACTAAAACACTCATATAAGCTGAAACACATAGATATACAAAATTAAACGTAAAAGCATAAAAACACACTCGTAATTACGTAACATAAAGACATAAAAACACACACGAGAATACATATCATGACACATAGAATACATATGGAAACACGTAGAGCACATAAATGCAAATATTACACACAGAAAAAAACATATGAGACATAGTAACGTGTGCGTAAAGCAGTAGCGCTGTGCGGAAATATGCTCAGTTCACATAATACATAATGTACATACTTTCATTAGGGCTTCTGTTGCATGAATTACATATTTCGTTGCATACACTACATTCGTGCATTGTACGGATATTGTATATTTCGATTTACGATAACACATCATTCCATTGGGTGCCCAGTGCTTTACACTGATAAACATGTCAGTAACATTATTTCTGCAAGTTGGTGGCTATTGAAAGCAGATGTTAACACGAGGCTCAAAATTGAATGTGGAATGTGTATTACAGAATGTGTACATACTGCGAATATCTAATCGTTGAGTACATTGTCTGCCATGCTACTGTGGCTCGCAAATGTCTTGCCCTAGGGCGTTGATTTGCTGTACAACTGCACAGATACTCCTTATAGCTGGCGGGTGTTTGATTATGAAACGAAAACTTCAAGACAGAACGATAATCTCACTCTCGTTCCAAAGCAACTTCAATTTCAACTACAAGAATTAAAACATATGTTTCTGTTGTAGATCTCAGTGGCTTCAAACAATGCGTCATTTCGCTTAAACGTTTTAAAAGAGCACAATTCGGAAGAAATGAGATAATGATAGAAAGTATTAATGCAAAATATCTAATCAGTTCTCATATATTAGTTAGCAGACATTAACACATTATGGATAAAGTTTGATTAACTGCGCCAAATACATGCCAGCTTATTGTGAGAAATATCCTTCACATTGTCAAAAGTTACGTTCACTATTTTGATATATGTTTTTTCTCGTCGCAATCGCTGGCACATCAGCAGTTATTCTTTTGCTAATTGCTGACATTTACTTCTCGATGTATGAAGTGGATATTCTTATTTTTTTGTAAATCTAATTTAATTTTGGAACAACATATTTTGTCTAAATCAATGTCCAGAAGTAAATTGTTCACGTAATTAATACATCTTAATTAATATTTTATTATTTCATGAAAAAGGAATAAATTAGTGTCCACATAATTAAAAAAAACTACCTGCAATTCAGTTGCAAAGTTAAAATAATTTTTGCCAGCATTTTAGTTTTGCTTAACGGAACAGTTATAAACTTATCATATATTAGAAGATGACATGAAGGATGAAGAAAAACATCTGAAAATTGTCTCAATCAATAACCGAAACAGAGAAACGTTCTTTGCTTTTGACTGCTAGTCGGCAGAATTTACTGCTTTAATTCTATAAAAATCAAATTTCGTAATATCGGGAAATAAAGGCTAAAATAAAAATAAATTCTAAAATGAAAATAAATTAATTTCAGACTTCTTGGCCCACAATGCAATGCTCACAATCCTGTGTGACAATTAGAATTGCGTTTAATGCCGTTTTGCTATCAAAATTTATGTTTTCTCTTATTTACGAAATTCTGAAAATGTGTTAAAATGCTCCTATATATTAAAACCAGTACTCGTTTTGTTAAATAATTTATAATGCTAAAAATGTTCAGGGGGATAAATTTTTATTACAAAGTAAGACTCTGCAGGTTTCGCGATATTAATATCAATGGAGTATAATATTGAAATGGATTTATGTAGAATAAAAAGACATACCTGTAAATCTTCCTTATCCAAATATACACTGCAGTAATTCAATTCTCCATAGGATCTATAAATCAAAGAAAAAAAATCATGCATTATTCACCAAGGAATAAAAGCCAAACGAAAACGGCATTTTAGTACGTTTTTAAGCATGAGAAAGATGCGCGTGAGAAATGACATCAGTAATTATAAAGTATTTATGAATATATATCATTATTTAACAGAGAGAATATTTAAAACAAATTCAACTATTCTATATAAATCAGAATCTAATAAAAAATTCTTACTAGGTGCAATAACGGAAGAACAGAAGATGCAGGAGGCGGAGAAAACAATGGCTAATCTTTGGAATATGGTAACAGGTAGTTTGGCGACATTTTGATAAGGCGATAAAGATTACTAGCTAGGACTTTAGCAATAATCCGAGAAGTACACAGTTTAAATCACAGATTATTTTGTCTCAGAGAAATGAGAGATCATGAGACATGTAATGCGATATTTTTCGGAAAATTCCGATCGTGATTTTAGCTAATAAGCACTTAGAAACAATTTCGCTGCTAAAGTGCAGAATCGCCCACTTATTTGTTTGGCGCTTTTTACAAGAGTAAGAAGAATTAGATTTTTGTCAATTTTCTTTGACTTTTTAAGTGAAAATAGGTCGATGTGTACATAGATAAAGACAAGAGTGTGCGGAATGCCATTTTTGTGCAATTCTGGATGTTTTTTTTAAGTGAAAATAGGTCGACGTGTACATGGATACCGCGTATGTGCAATTCTTAAAAACGCGCGAAGCAGTGGGCGATTCGGCACTTTTTCCCAATTTCGCACCTAATCTTCGTCATGATTAAGCACTTTTGTTCCATAAAAGTTCTAGCATAAGCGTAATTCGGCTAGCAGATTGTTGGAAAAATGTTGAAAAAAAAAAAAAAAAAAAAAAAAAAAACATGCCTTTACTTCGTGAAATCAAAATGGCGTCCAAAAAAATACTAGCAGGTTGCTGCAGCAGGGTTGGTCGCCAAAGTTTCGCCAAAAAATCGCCAAGTCACCATTATTCAAAAATTCACCAAAACAACTTTCTAGTATGAAATGCGAAGGAAAAAGCGTACAACATGCACTTGTACAACATGCGAATGCGTGGCATTCGCCATTGCCACTGTAGATTGCGTAGTGGTGTGTCGTGACACTACATGATATTAACTGTAAATGTTTTGTAAATCTTTGCAAATAGATCCTCGATAGAAATCTTGAAGGTGTTATGTCCGCAACATTTACATCCCCACAAGAGTCATCCCGTAGTGGCATGTTCAATAGGTTTCGGTTTTAAGGGTGTATACAGCATGAAACCAAGTCTTCAGACAACATTATTTTTAAAGCAAAATGATAACGATACGGTCAGACAGCACACATTAATATGAGAACATAGTATTAAAGTATCCTGGACTCAATCATGATACGAAACAATGTGGACGACTAAAAACAGTAAGCCACATTACTTGTGTATAAATTATACATTGTTAAGAATTTTGTACATATGTAAATAATTTTATTAACATTATATGTAAATCGCAGTATTTCTTATTGCCTCGAAAGACGAAACAAGATTACAGTGGCAAGTCCATTTAACATCGAAGTAAATGGTTAGTGCCAAACTGGCGATGGATTTTGGCAATTAATTTTTGTCGCCAAATTTGGTGATAAATCTCCAAAATCCGCCAAACTTGGTGAACATTTGACTACATTTGAGTCCTATTACTGTCTAACTGTTATTGGTCTAATTCCTACATATAATTCTAACTGAATCCATGTAACTGTAACCGTATATGCCTTCCAGAAATTTCAAGAAATCAAATTTCTCGCCGGGAAGGGAAAACTATATGAGACAAGAGAGTGCATCAGTTTTCAGTTTTACTCAGGGTTGAGTTCGGAATATTAATATATCTCCGTGCGATCGTCGCTCTTTGGATGCGTTTTGCATAGAGTTGTATTTAACATTCATAGCAGTTTGAAGTGGTAACTACTGATTGTGCTCTGATGTACTTTGGTACGGTCCCTGTATCAACGTAATAGGTATTGCAATCGAATAAATGTAATTGACTAGTATGTTAGCTGTATCCATAATTCGTCCCTCATATTGCTTTCCAGTAATTTCAAGTACGAGTGCTATTGTGAAAAGTTTCAGAACTGTGAAATGTTTCTTTAGGTAAAATAAATTTTATTAAGCTGTGATCGTTTCTGTGTACATTCAATCCATTACGAAACCGTAAGCACGTAAAAATATTATATCTCTTTTGATTTAGTTGCTTCCGCTTTATGTACGTGGGGGGTTTTTAGCGGCCGACACATTTTTAACAAACATATTAAATCAAAATAAACGTTAATGAATTTGCTCGGAAAATTCACCAATGTGAAAGGTACCAGAGGAAGTAGTTTGGTTGCAAATAAAGTAATACGAAAGGGGTGAATTTTATTTTAAGCCTCATATTATAACGCCAACTGCGTAATTAAATAAACCTAACCTAACCAAAGATCTTTTGCACCATTTTGAATCAATATTGTTCTTCGTAGAGCGGTTACGCAAGCCATTAATCTTTCACTACCATCTCTGAAACGTGTGTGCGTGATTATGGCAAAGCCTCGAGGGCTATTTCCCTAGGATGCCTTCGTGGAAGACTTTCTAAGGAGAACTGGCTCGTATACACGTTACACATGGGGAAAACCATGAAAACACCCATGCAGCCAGCCCGTTCGCGGGATTCGAACCTTGGACCGAACTACCAGTGTTCAACGCCTTTACCGCTCGGCCGCTGGTGGGCCCATCTCTGAAACGAACACCGCCACGAAGTTGAACTGTTTGGGCAGTTCAACATTGGAACAACAGCAAGGTACAAATTATTATTGAATGTACTAAACATCGTACAGAAGTAGAAACGTTTAGTAAAATAGTCCACTGAAAAAATTGTAAACAAGAATTATTTACGATCATCTGAACTCGGCGCAAAAGTCAGCTGAAATTATTTGAAATGCTCTGAACATAATGTAAACATTAACAGCAATCACTTAAAATGCTCTAAATCTGGGATTAGTTTATTTACAATAAAAATTTATTTCAAATAAGAAATATTAAGGTCTGTAGAAGGCAATCTATTTATATCGTATGCTTAGTCATGCAAAATATTACAACTAAACAATATTTAAGATTGTAAAATGAAGACGACGACTATTCTGACGTATTTTTGGAAAGTCCGGGAAGAAATATTTTGTTTTTAGTGCAAGCTAAAATTTTCCCGTAAATAGAATAAACTATGTACTTTTGTTTCTAAAAGGCAGCACATATACACATTCTGCACTAAAATAATGCCCTTTTCAGGCCTTTCTTTTGTGACATGTTCTAAAACTTTGAAAAGTTTATTCTTTTGTTACAGAAAGAATCCATAATGTGGCTTTATTTATGAAAGATATTTTGAAAAAGGAGGATTTCGTTCGAAAGCGAAAAATAAGGCAGTTCGAAAATTTGCCATAACAAATTTTGAATTAATTCTGAAAGCATACAACAGGCAATACTGCAAGCAGAATACAGATAATCTAGATTTTTTAAAAATAATAATTCAATAAATTTGGTTCATTAAACATCGCTGTAGAAAAACCACACGAATTAAGTGAGAACCTATGGAACATGCAAATTGCAGAACTGCTTTGTTCGTGGGTTTGTAAGTATTAGGTAATGTTTCACAATTATGCATATTTTGTAATATAACGTATTGTATTATGTAAGGTAAACATAATGAAATGTATACTATTTTGAAATTTGTTAACTACAGTATGAAGAACGCAGTATGCAGTTTGAAATGGCGGGTTCTGCGTCAGGAGGCGCAGTAGGGAGCCTAGCCGCAGGCGAAACGCGCAGTGAGATTACTAATAAGCCAGCTATCTGTTAAAAAGAAGAACCGAGATCAGAGAGACTTTTTGATAAGAGATTACCTTTCATTAGTTTCTCCATCTATAATTTTCTTTAACTTAAATTTCAGGATTTTCAGCCATTGTATTCTGAAAATGTTATTCAGTTTTTGTTCATATATATATAAACATATGTTACCGTGAAAGACCGAAATTGGAGAATGTCGACTTTCACCGGAGAATGTTAACATTCACCAAATACGTTGGTGAAAGATCGAATATTGCACTACATTCTTGTATATTCGGACCCTCACCGGTGTATGTCAACAATCACAGATATGCTCTGGTGTAAGTCTAAAAGAGAGGTCATAAAATGCCATAATAGTTTAAGTTGTTGCAATAAATAAGATTCGAATCACATAATTTAGTAAGTTTTTTATTACTGTTATTTTATTTTCTCATTTAGAACGTACTGTATAATTAAGTTTTTAACTTCTATTATTTTCCTTTCTCATTTTGAATGTATTGTGTGTTTTAGGTTCTCATGTTCTTAAGTTCTTATTTCAAGTCTCAAGTGCGTTTATCTGCGACTGAATGACGGAGAAGAAAATATAATATTCTTATATGTTCAACATTCACCATTAGTACATGGTGAATGTCGACATTGACCGATGTAAGTCAGAAATACGAGTATTTGGAAAATATTTCGGACCTACACCAAGAGAGTATGTGAATGTTGACATTCACCGGTGAAAGTCGACATTCTCCAGATTTCGGTATTTCACCGTAACATATGTATATCCTTAACACCTCTTATTTTCGAGTTCATATTCGCCCGGCCTTAATTTTAAAAGTAAAATTTTAATTATTATCGTATATTTTAAGCTTTTTAGTTTCCCATATATTCCTAATTTTAACATATTTCTTAAATTTTCTGTTCACAATGACGTTTTCCATAATTTCAAACTCAATTACTAATTTTTATTGTTTATTTCATATTACGAAGATTTTATTTTATATATATATTAACTAATATACTCTTACTTTTAACTCATTTATTATATTTTCCAACCATAATTCTACATATACGCGTTATTATTTAATATAATGTTTATTTTTACACACAATTTTTAACTTGTTTCATACTTTTTAACGTTTGTAATTTTTAACAGCTTCTAAATTTTAA